TTTTTGCACAAGATGGTATTTCCACTAAGTCCGCTTGCAACGATTTCTTGGACATACAGGCCAAACTGTGTTGATGTGTGCCCAAATAAAGCACAGCGGTACGCTAGATCACTCAGACCAGCAGTTACCTTCTACAAAACTTTCCCGTTCAGGCTGGAAGTTCTGATCCATATGGTAATTTGCTTTCCGCGCACACCCCTAACGTGATTAGAATGAAGCCTTAGAATCAGCATAAAGCTAACGAACATCTAAAATTCTCCCTTAGGGAAATTTTGTGTATTATGCTTTGTGAAAAATATGAGGATGTAGCAGTTATCAAAGAGGTGGGCTTTTTAGCAAGAGTCAATAATTTTCCAAAGAAGTCGTATATCATTTTCTAAAAAAGTCGTATAAAGTGGCAACAGGTTTTTCTTTGCGCAGATGGGACAATAACTCCACGAATTTGCATCGATCTTGAGAAAGTGTTTGGCGTATAGTTTACCTGAATTTACGAGCGAACTTGAAGTCGAGTATAAATACTGTGTGATAGGTGTCGTCATCCTCTTTTCCGATAGCGAAATTATCCGGTTTGATATCGCGATGAATGTAGCCGCACTTAATGGATTAAGTAGATGTACTCCATACTTTTTTTTTACTGAACTAAATTTACTATTCTTACAATGTGTAAATCGCGAATGCCACTAAGAGTTTGTTCAGCAATTCGAATAGCAGTGACCATAGTGAATTTGTGGTCTGGTACATCATGATGTAGTTCGAGGAGGTTTTTTCCAACCTGTACTTAATTACAGTACACATGATTTGATGTTGACCAGGCCTCGGCACGAAGTCTCCGAATGAATCTGAGGACGAATACCCACTTGAAAATTCCGGAATTTACGAAGTCCCCTTTGTAATCTGTACATACGTGTGCAAGCAGATCAAGCAGTGCAATTTTGTTTACTTGGAGCACGTTTTCCTTATCAAGGCAAAAGGATTTAGGGCCCTAGCAAGGCAGAGAAGAAGCTTTGATCTGGTTATTGAGCTTTCATTTGGGTCAAGGGGAACACAAAAAAGGGTTCAATATAAGGAAAGCAAAAATAAGAGAGACAAAATTGCTTGTTAATCGGAGATCTGAGGTCTCCCGCGGGCTCCACCGGAGGCCCAAGCCACTCAAAGGGACAGCAAGTTCTTCATTCTCATAATTTACCAAAGATCCTTCTTCTACTCTTTGTTGCGCATCCTTACGTCAGTTTTGGTGGCTGTTATTGTGTAATTGCTAAGAAAATTTAATCTATTGACTTAATTTAAGAAAAGAAAAGTTTGATGGCTATC